TTAATTATTTGAGACAACAAAAAAAACTAGTGAAAGAGAACGCTGCTAATGATAATCACGCTGCTTGTCACAATTAGAGGAACTAAATAATCTGATCTTTCGCTCGATGTTGATGGTAATATAGAGGAACATCGATCGTATAATTTACTGGAGTAAAAATTGGCCTAACAAGAGACAAATCTCCAATGTAAATCGAAATGGACCTTTTATCGTTTAGATTTTGCTTTAAGAGACTCATTTCTCATTTCTTTTGATTGTTTGAGAGTTACACTGGTCTTGGATTTTGTATGATCGCTCTTGGAAACTTTTAAATCAATTGATTTACTTTTTTTGCTGGATAATTCACGGGAATGCACTTTCAAAAATGGTACTGATTTAGATTTACGATGGACTGTTGGAGTTACTACTAATTTAGATTTGGAATCTAATGACGATTTATGTTTGCTTCTTATGTCAGGTAGCGAGCCTTTGGGCGGAGGATTTTTTATCTTGTCCAATGTGTCCGGAACTTTTCTGGCCACAGTACGACGAGTATAAAATAAAACAGATACAATTATAGAGATGATAATAGTACAAATAAGTAATATTCTCAATAGGACATGAAAAAGTGGCAGTGAACTGATGGTAAAAGAATCACTATAAGTGATCAAGTTGTCAAGTTCTAGTGTTTGAAATGGACCTTGTCGTCTAACCAGAAGAATCGATAATCGATATTGACCAGAATTCACCCGATTGCAGTTGAGATAAACCTTTGACTGATTATAATTCACAACAGAACAACTTTCAATTAAGGAGTATGTTGCATTGTGGACTAAAGTGAAGGTCAAGGGAAAAATATGGGAATATTTTGAATGGTAACCAAGGAGATCGAAGTTCAAATCAAATGTTGATTCACCAGAAACGTAGTCTGCTTGGATATTAGTTGGACTGAAACATGGATTTACTGTTTGATTCGTGAGTGTAGTTTCTCTGTAAAAAAGATGATAGATTAGAATAAAACTAATAAATAGGAAAGATATAAATAAACTAATATTTAAATTCTTACCTTGAATCAGTAGAATTTGTAGCACCGATTAAACATTCGCCCGATGATAATGAATTTCCTCGTGTCCATTGACAATATCGAAGAAAATTACCATTTGAATTATAAACTTTCGTTGTAAAACAATCAATACACGAATTGTTTAGTAATGGACACAAAATAATTGAGTCGGTGTAAGAATATTGATTAAATGTAATTATAACTCGTGGATGATTAAAACCGTGATAATAAATTTGTGATATTGTTCGATTTAGATTGTTGATATTACGATGATCGAACGTCCTTTCGATCGGGTGGGGTGAGACAGAATAATTTTCATTGACAAAGTGAATTGAATATCGATATCTGGAGACGTCACTGTTAGAGGAGAGAACGAGGAAAACATGCCCTGGAGTCGCATCGAGAGCCAATGGAACAAAATCAATTATTCGAGTCCAGTTTACCGTTAGAATACCTGTAAGATGATACACTGTGAAGTCTTTACGTATTGACAATGCTTGTATATTGGCTGATTGGGAAAAAGAGTTACACTCTGGACCAGATTCGTTGAACAGATCAACTTTCCAAAAAGTTTCCGCAGTTTGACAACCGTGAGCGGGCCCTTCAAAGTCATTTAGCATCGAATTTAATGGAATCACTTCAATATGATCGCTACTATTTCGATTATAAGAGAATGTGATCAAAGAAAATGAAGATCCATCGCTCATGATTGAAAAAGAATCAACAAATCGAACTTTATCAATCGGACCATAACGTTCATAAAATGAAATCGAATGAAGTTCAGAGTAAAAATATCTATGTAACCTGTCAACTTCCAGGTTTATTAAAAAGTTTGATATCTGAGAGATGAAGTAGACTGGCCTTAGGAGGTCAATTGTTAGAAGGCCGAACGAGTAAAAGTTTTCCTTAAACTTGAAGGTTTGAAGAATTTGAAACGAGCGAACGGTGGATTCGACGGGATTATGTCCATAAATCGTCCAATTAATGGAATTGCCATTAGATTGAACAAATGCGAATAAATTAGCTCGCGAATTCGTTATATTGGATCCTGGCATCATTCCGATTGCATAAATTGAATCACTAATGGAGAGCCACCGATGAGCATTTAGTGATCCTGCAGAAAAGGGCCCGGCTATCAGTTCAAAACATTTTCTGGAATATAATCATAATGAGCGAAATCGGCGCTGCTCTTGCTTTGCAATATGAAGCTATTGGGTCTACGAGAATAAGCTGGAGCAAAACGAGTCACGCTACTTTCTTCACCAACTGCGTTAGGGTCCGTGTTGAGAACTCGACTTGAATAATTAGTAGGGTAAAAATGATTTTCAGTGTAAAAGAAATAAGGAGTTAGTAAACTGTTGTTGAAAATTGGGATCCAAACATTTGATTCGTGTATAAGAAGATGACAATCAACAATAATTATCGATGAGAGAAATATACAAATTAAAGAAAAACTTGCTAAACAAATTAAATGAAACATTTTGTTCAAGAGGAAAATATTACAAACATCCAACTCTTCATTGTATCAATTGGATATTTAAACTGTGGTTTGTTCTGATTGTGGAAACACAATTAGGATTATATTAATCGGATAAGTATTGAGATTTGTTTTCATCTTGTAATCCCAATGTTTACGATTTCTTGATGAGGATAAAATTATTAGATTAAGATCTTAATTAAATTTGACTTTACTTTTGGTGCATAGAATTTCTGGAGCAATTGGTTGATTGAAACTCTTAAACCAAAGAAAATACAGTGGTAGTAACTTATTACTCTTTTTACTTTAGATGATCGACTTGTTCAGATGATTACTATTGCATTATGGAATAGGAATCTCAGGAATCTGTCATCTAAATTACGGACATTGAGGGACACTCTTATTGGGTTAAGAATGTTGAATATGATACGAACTCGAACTCCTTAGCTCTGGATATGATGGTTGTATCTACATTTGGATATCAACAAATATGATGCAACATCATTTGATCATCAAACAGGAATCCAATTCATTTACAAAGCCTCTATTTCTTTCCTGCCTAATGAGAATGAGATTAACCCATGATAGCTCAAAATGATAATCTACCCTCAGAGGATACATTATGATTATTCATGATTTAAGATTAGAAAATTGGAAAAGATTTAGCTGGTTTCAATCTGATCTCTATCATGCAAAAGCGACATTCATGTGGATTTGACTTTGGCTCCTGGTTTAATCCACTTTTTACTACTCGACGTAACAGGTGAGTTGATTTCAGATTTTCCGCCAAGAATGAATCGCATTCATTTTTTCACTTGATGTCCACCCACATAACTGGTCAATCATATCTCGTAATATAAGTAGGGATGAAAACTCTGAATGGACTTGTGTCCATGACATTCAAGGTAATATTTCATTTCTAATATTATTCTTTCCTTTCCTTAATACATTTGCTTTAAAATATTAATTAACGTATTAACTTTCGTTTAACTAATTTATTAACTTTCGTTTAACTAATTTATTAACTTTCGTATATTGATTAGGTGATAAATGGCCTTATCAAACTGTTCCTATCGATGTACCTAAACAAGGTATATTTGTTAGCCATCAAGTACTCGAGTCACAATCATGTCCACCAATTTATCTTCAGACGTGACAGAATCCGGATCCAGTGGTACAAGAAACATTGCTCAAGCATTAAATAGTCCCTCTCCAATCAGTCATCAACATTATCGTCAACCCAAGACTCAGTTCTGCATCAACAGCATCTTCCTCTTCAACAACAATAACTCTCACAACAACAACAACAACAACAACAACTACATCATCATCTTCTTCCAACTCGGTACCCGATCTTCACGTTAGTCCTGTTGATAATCAGTGCAAGAACATTAAACCGTCAGCTCATGCAACCATATTAGCACAAATGCTAGTTACCGACAAATTGAACCCGGTACTCAAGATCCACAGAATCTATCGTAATCTTGATAGATTAACCCATTACTGTGAAGAACTGAATATTGGACCAGGTTTCATAAAGAATTGTCTTCTCTCACCCGATGGACGAATAATCTGTTCCCATACGAATGTGGAATCCGTTTTCTCTCATTTAATTCAATTGTGTGAAATGTCATCGGCGACCATAAACCTCAGCCATTACACGAGCTTAAGACTATCTCACATCACTCAAATCTCGTGGTGACGATAAGTGTTTAGATTAACTAATTGTTACTCAAATCGGATAAAAAAACAAAGTGGAAGATCAAATTAACGGTCATGTGTCGGTAGAGAAAGTAATTCAATTAAAGATCGAACAGTCCAATAATCCGGATGAACCATTGATTATTTAAGAATTTCAATTCAACCGAGAAATTGATCAATCGAATAGGTTAATTAACTTTCTCGAGTTCTAAAAATTTGAATCGAGACATTTGCTAAAAAGTATGTCTTTATAATCAACGACAACACCAAGAGTAATTTAATCACGACTCAAATATAACCATTTGATTATCATTAAGAAATTATGAACATTGGGATTCGAGGACGGATATAAATGTTGATAATTATCCAATGAATATATAATTCTAATTGTGAAAACACAATCAAAAGTTTAGACATACAGTTGATGCAATAAATAGTTGATTGTTGGTATTTTCGTCTCTCGAACAAAATGTTTCATTTATTTTCATTGGCAAGTTTTACCTTAATTTGTATATTTCTCGTTGATAGTTAGTGTTAATTTTCATCTTACACGATTGTAATACTAGTTTTACTGCAAAGGCAGTGACGTCTGAGCGTGAGTATGCTTCAAGCGGAAAAGTTATAATAACAAGAAAGAGTTGCTTAGCCGTCAGATGACGTTACCACCTTACACCACGGGGAGGTGAAACTCGTGTAAGGCAAAAAATACATACTCACCGAACCAAAAAAAGTCAAGCCGATTCCAAGTCCAAATGGTACCAAGAATAACATGAAAAGAGAAAAATTTCCAATGAGAATAATTCAATTTAAAGTTAAGATAAAAAATTGATTAAAAATGACATTCAAAGTAGTATTTAAAACATTTAATTCTCTAAAAGCGAGAGAAAGAGAAAAAGAGAGAAAAGACATCAAAAATATCATTTATACATGAACATGGGTATAGATTATTCATACATAAATAGATATATCAATTTATAAAAGAGATTAGATCATAAAAGATTTACAGATGACATGTACGCTAGTCTATCTTTTAACATTTGGGATTGTGCAATTCTATCGATGCGATCTTTAGCAAAGTATTGTTGGATAGCTAAATCCGTTATTTTTCGTACACGGCTCAATCCAACATAAGACAAACCAATAGAGTGTTCACGTGAGCCAATATCGATAACAGCCTTATCTAGTGTTAATCCTTGTGCTTTGTGAATTGTTATAGCAAAGGCTAAATTAAGAGGCAACTGTTTACGTGAGCATTCAATGCCATTATCAGTCCATCTAGCTTCAACAGGTATAATCGGAAAAGCTTCATCGTCGAAATTACTTCCTAAGTATCTATCAAACTTAACCATGACAACTCTGGGTAAAGATTTTGGGCGACGTCCTTGTTCATAGATTATATCAGTTACCGTACCAAGTGATCCATTAACTAAACCACCATCCACCCATAAATTTCTTCTAAGCATAACTCTTGAATTAATAGAAATATTTAACACTGGCTCTAGGCAAGATGCTTGACAATCAGACCCATTTGCTGCGGTTGCACAGTTGTGCTCTGCTTTTATTTCAGCGACAGGAAATCCAGTTGAATGCAGGTATGCGGCATTTCTCTCCTTGACTAACTCATTTGTTGAAAATAGATACATGGAATCTTTAAATGATTCTCTGTCTTCAACCGATAAAAGATTGATTCTCCTGGTCATCAATAAATCGTAATTTGCATCAGAAATACGACCAAGAGCTAGTTCATCTAACAAATTACGAAAAGCTATCTGCTCATCTCCTGCTTGTCGGACGCATGTTGTCAATTTGAATGTTTTTGTATTGAAGAGAGGAGTGCACCATATCGCTTCCGGTAGATAATTCTACTATTGTAAACCAGTGGATCCAAAACGGGAGGTTGTTGCAAATCTCCAAGAAAATAAACACATAGACCTCCAAAAGCTTCGTTTACACCTGTAGCCTCTTTACACCTTGTATCTATGTACAAAAATGATTTCAAGCCAATCATTGAAACTTCATCAAATATTAGAAACTTAACATGTTCCATTTGAAGTTGAAGATTCCTCAAAGGTGCGTTCTCCAAGTTTTTGAATTTCCTTTGTATTTTCAAAAATGAATGATAAGTAGAGCCGGAAATATTCGTGGCAGCCACGCCAGTTGGAGCTAATACTTTGTCTGAATCAGGGTGAAGTCGGCTTCTGATTTCAGTAACCATTTTTTTAATGAGAAAGCTTTTACCAGTACCAGCTTTTCCTTGAACAATACACCTTTTAATAGGATTTTCGTGGCCATTCATGATGTTACTTATTTGGGATGAACATAATTCTAACACAGTATTTTGGTCTTCAGTGGGTGATTGATTAAATTCAAGTTGAACAGGTTGTTGAATATTTTGACGCTTTAAGTTATATAAAAATTCGTTAATTGTATCTTCTGAATAGTCAAAATTTCTTTGTGCATCCCATTTAAATTGATGGTCAATAAGGCGATCTCCCATAGGTCTAGGGACAGGCAAATTCTGTCTGAACCTTGCTATTGCCATTTCAATGTTTCTTTCAGCATCGTCATATACTTCGACTTCTTCATATTCGTCATCCATTGGTCCAAATTCAATATCAGCCATACCATCAGGGAGTAAGCAAGTATAAGCTTCAGCCCATGTTTGATAAGGACCACCTCTGACATCCGTATCTTTCAAGGTCTCTGGAGAGCGCCACCAAGGAATATATAACTGGACTTGCTGTTTACAGAAAGACTCGTGTTTGGAGGGTTCCAATGACTTTTTAAAACGGGGGAAAACTCTTATAATTGGAACTTTCTTCCTTCGTCTTAGTTCTCCCTTAACCACTTCAAATTGTTTGGCATAATCAGTCAAACATACATCTTGATCGATAGGCCTCCTTTGATAAAATGCAATTAACTTTGAATTCGCTCTGTTCTCGACTTCTTCATTTTCTTCATTACCTCCAAGACGTACCAATACTCTATCAGAAAGGTTAAGTTTGACATAAGTTCTCGAAGATTCATAAAGTGGCCAGCCCATCAAAACATGAACAACTTCTTGTGCTGAATAATCTCTTCCGGATAACGATGCTTGAACAATTTTACGTATGAGAGATGTACCATGTGAATCAGCTCGTAAGTCATGTGATATTTTATCAACCAACGCATTGAAGTCCATTGATGATACTTCACCCTTTGTTACATATTTTGCGATATAATTGAGAACCAAGTCAACGCTAGTTACGATATTAAAATCTATATTAGCTCTCCAGGTTTGAATAATAAAGTCATTGTAACGATTCATCGATTCATCATTACGTTTAGGAACAAATTTTAACACACCATCCGCATTTTCGAAACGATCAGCTTCTGAAAGAGGCTGTGGGAATTTGAAACGGCATTCTTGTTGATTCGACCCCCTTTTCTTTCTTAAACAATGAGAGCCATGTCTAGTGTGCCTTTGAACAGTATTAAGTAAAATTGAAAGATCTTCATCTATGTTGTCAATTTCGCTGTAGGTTTTACGACATGGATGTGAAGTAGCTGCTACATCAATGTTAGGATTCATTGCTTTAGTAAGATTGGAACAATATTCTAGAGCAATTTGCTTGTCAGCTGCAGACTGAGAATCTATGGTGGCCAGGTCAGGAGCATTTTCTAACCAAAGTAATCCATGTACATGTGGACTCCCTCGAAATTGCCATTCATAACGCATCCAAAAGTCTTTAACATTAAGAAATGTTTTCAAAACGGTCTTTCGATAAATGTCAATCCGTGTTTTGAAAAATTGAGCTGTTATCATTGGATTTTCGTGCATTAAAGTTCTTCTCTCTGCATCTGTAATGGTTTCAATTGGTCTATCTGGACAGATTAGTTCAAAAAGTTTATTCCAGTGATAGTCAGCTGCTGATAAAGTGAAGAAAATAGTAGGAGAGCCGAGTTGATTAACCATATCTAACAGTTCGCCTGCTCTCAACTTCCAGTAAGGTGTAGTCGATCTCAGTTGACCAGAAAATGCCATAATCGAGGATCTTAATGATGGGTCCTCAAGAAGACGACGTGAAACTTCTTCAACACTTGAATTACGGAAATCATTTTGACATATAAGAATAGAAGATCGGCTAAGGGCTTGCCATCGTAACACAGAATTCATAGCGAAAAATCGGAATCGTGGATGTTTAGCAAATCTACCATCTCTGTAAACCATGAGAAATTTGAAATAATTGTTAGCATCAACTTTGTGTTGTCTTGGAGCATTTAAATCTGCTTTTCCATAAGGAAAAAGTTTGGGAAAGGCTTGCGAAATGTAGCCTTCGGTTCGAAATTCATTGATTGGGTTTGGGTCTTGCTCTGGCCAGTTAATATTACCACTCAGCGTAGCTTGTATAGAAATATCCTGATTTACTGACTCAATAAGCGGAAAATAAGATTCACGCAAACAATCTTCACCTTGAGCAGCTTCGGCAGAATGATCTAGTAAATCATCTAAGTTCGGTTCTCTTTCTAAATCAGCTAAGGCATTTTCATTTATCTCTATATCGGAATAATATTGATGATTCTGCTTCAACCATAGAAGTGCAGCTCTTACAGCACCAGCATTTATAGATAACTCAGCTGGTATATCGTTTCCTTCTCTAACACCGACAATGATTCTAGATAATTCATCTCTTGAAGGGGGTAAGCTAGAATAAAGCCTATTAATGTTCTGACGAAAATTAATGACATTCCCTGAGTAACCAGTTTGTTCACCTCTTATTCTGTAATAAGTAACAACCGGATGTATCTTAGCAATAAGCAATTCTTCAATCGGAGATAAAACTTTGAGTTGATCAGGTACTTGACCTGGATCCATATTGTTGTCAGTAGAGAACAATCTACGTCGCACCTCGGATTTGCAAGTTGAACATGGTATGGTATTCAAGGTCGAAAGTGTACGTGTATTACACGAATCGCATTCTTTGTAAATCAGCTCATCTATATCTCTATCGAATTTGAGTGCAGAACGTTCAGCTGGTGAAATTTGTTGAAGTCTAGGCTGATTACCCTGATTTCGCTGATTACGCTGATTTTCGGCCAGCGTACGTGGTGATTGTCTTCTCATTCGCGGCATATCTTTTAAGAAGAATAGAATTATTATTTATATTTATAAAAATCTGAGAAAAATCAAATTCAATAATATAGAATTTCGCAATTATTGCATCTGACTTTTCTCATTTTCTTTGTCTCTTTCTCTCTTCCTTTCTCTTTTCCTTTCTCTGTCTCTTCTTTTTTCTCTTTATCTTTCTCTTTGTTTTTCTCTTTGTCTTTCTCTTTGTCTTTCTCTTTGTCTTTCTCTTTGTCTTTGTCTTTGTCTTTCTCTTTTCCTTTCTCTGTCTCTTTCTCTTTCTCTTTCTCCTTCTCCTTTCCTTTCTCTGTCTCTTTCTCCTTTTCTCCTTCTCTTTCTCTTTGTCTTTCTCTTTTCTTTCTCTGTCTCTTTCTTCTTTTCCTTTTCTCTTTCTCCTTTTCCTTTTCCTTTCTCTGTCTCTTTCTCTTTCTCCTTTTCCTCTTCCTTTCTCTGTCTCTTTCTCCTTTTCTCTGTCTTTTCTCTTTTCTTTTCTCTGTCTTTGTCTCTTTCTCTTTGTCTTTCTCTTTGTCTTTCTCTTTCTCCTTTTCTCTGTCTCTGTCTCTGTCTCTCTTTCTCTTTCTCTTTCTCTTTTCCTCTTTCTTTTTCTTTTTCTTTCTCGAAGATGAGAAAAAATGGGAAAGAAAGAAAGAGAAAGAAAGAAAGAGAAAGAAAGAAAGAGAAAGAAAGAAAGAGAAAGAAAGAAAGAGAAAGAAAGAAAGAGAAAGAGACAGAGAGAGAAAAACAAAGAGAAAGAAAAAGATAAAGAGAAAGAGAAAGAAAGAAAAAAGAAAGAGGAAAAGAAACAAAAGGTGAAAGAGACTTTTTCTCTTTTCGCCTCATTCTCTTTTTCTTTCTTTTCCTCTTTCTTTTTTCTTTCTTTCTTTTGTAATAACAACTTAAGCCAGGTACTAAAACTGGTTTATACCTGGCTAAATCTCTCAACTTCCCTTAATTTTTCCCTTCTCTCTCTTCTTTTCCTTTCCACCATTTTGTTAGGGAATCACTGGAGTTGCTTTACGGTGTTCAATTCACCTTATTTTGTCTTATTTAAGTTCAATAATTATTAAATTAATCATAATAATCATCATAATTTTGACTATCAATGTTTACGTAATTTGTTATAAAGTCGTGATTACAATTTAAGTAAATAATTAACTCGGAAATTTGAACTAGATTCAATGGTGAATGAATTAATGTAATAAATCAATAAGTGATTCAATTGATCTTGGAAAACAATGGTGACCCTTGGACGTGATCTTCCACTTGTTTTATTTATCTCGTGTTTTCATGATAATTAACATGTTTGAAAAAAAAACTTTCGCAAAATTTATGTATTTGTACCTTTTAGTTTCTGTTATTGTTTTTTTTGGTTTTCTACTAGTTTATTTCTCCATTTGGTTACAATAGTTATAATATTTCAATAGTTTAGTTTATATGTTTGTTTCTGTTCAGATTAGTGAACGATGATCATCCCTACATGGTTGTTGATATTTTTTTTATTTCTCTTTGCTGTTGTTCGGACGATAGTCTGACCTCACCTGAAACAAAGGGATAAATTACTGTTAATAATCGTTTCTTTGTCCTTTAAAAGATCGATTTTTGCTTCGATCATTTTTGAGATCGATTATAGCCAAACTGAGAACCAGCTTAACAAGTTTTTTTTTCTTAAACACAAACCCTGATAAAATTGTATTCGTTCAGATAGTTTAGTTTGCTGTAGTGTGAGGTAACCTTATTAATCTTTATCCTATTTTCTGTTTGGACTTTGGTGAATGTTCCGATTCTTGATACATACGTATCAGTTCAATAATTCTTTTTTTTTTCTTTGGCGAAACAAGTTATTGTAACTTAGTTATTAGTTATTATTGTGCTTCATTTGTCTTCTTGATAAGTAAATCGTCACAACGACTGAGTAACCTAGTTATTGGTTACAGTTGATCTTCGTTTGTCTTATTGGTGGTTAATTTGTCGAAACAAGTTATTGTAACTTAGTTATTAGTTACTATTGTGCTTCATTTGTCTTCTTGATAAGTAAATCGTCACAACGATTGAGTAACCTAGTTATTGGTTACAGTTGATCTTCGTTTGTCTTATTGGTGGTTAATTTGTCGAAACAAGTTATTGTAACTTAGTTATTAGTTACTATTGTGCTTCATTTGTCTTCTTGGTAATTAAATCGTCAGAATGATTGAGTAACTTAGTTATTGGTTACTATTGTGCTTCGTTTGGCTCAACATTTGGTTTATTTCGATTGAAAATTTAGTTATTAATTATCACTTTCGTCATTTGGTCAACTTCGTTTAAATTCGTTTGGTAAACTAGTTATTGTTTATCACTTTCGACATTTGGTCATCTTCGTTTAAATTCGTTTGATAAACTAGTTATTGTTTATCACCTTCGTCATTTGGTCAATTTCGTTTAAATTCGTTTGATAAACTAGTTATTGTTTATCACTTTCGTTATTTGGTTAAAATTCGCTTGATAATTTAGTTATTAATTACCATCTTCGTCATTTGGTTAATTTCGATTCAACATTTGGTTAAATTCGTTTGATAAACTAGTTATTGTTTATCACCTTCGTCATTTGGTCAATTTCGTTTAAATTCGTTTGATAAACTAGTTATTGTTTATCATCTTCGTCAATTGGTCAACTTCGTTTAAATTTGTTTGATAATTTAGTTATTAATTATCATCTTCGTCATTTGGTCAACTTTGTTTAAATTCGTTTGATAAACTAGTTATTGTTTATCACCTTCGTCAATTGGTCAACTTCGTTTAGATTCGGTTGATAATTTAGTTATTAATTATCATCTTCGTTAATTGGAAAATTTCGTTAAATTTGATTGCCTTATTTGGAGTGCTTTTGTTTATTTTGTTTTCTCATTGATTCGATTGTCCGTTGTTCCAGGATCTGTGATACTTTTGTCTTTATGGTTAATTGAGTTAACCGTTCGTTTCAAGATTTGTTGGTTCGTTTTATTTTGGATTTAATAGTCAATTTATTGTGAAAATTGTCATAATAGAAAAATTTTATTTGATTCTTTAGATAATCTAGTTATTGATTATCATTTTGTTATAATTTGCTATTTTAATAATTTGTCGTTCAAGTAGCTGATTC